CAGTTGAATATAATTTTTAAAAGTTCAACCTTAGAGCAGATATATCTCCTATTAACTTGTCGAAGTTTTCTACCACTGTCATGGACATACTTCTCTCTTTCGAATCATTTAATGCCATTGTACAACCATGTTTCCTTTTAACTAATGACTTTTTCGATTATTGTTAATGATTTGACTATGAAATTTAAATTCGTTGAAAGAATTATATTAACGCTGTTTCCATCCTGAACTTCGATGCTGAACATTTATAAATCCTTATGCCAGAATGATCTAGTTGATCCATGAACCTAAAATAAAAGACAAGTAGCTCATATAAATGGTTATATATTATGAAAATTTATGCGTATCGAATAGAGGGATATTAATTCTGTCACCAAGCCAACACGCCAACGTTTGCTCAATTCTTCTGTCACCAAGCCAACACTCCCAAGTTTGCTCACTGCACCGCATTATATAGAGATCTGCAGTCGTCTTTACAGGAAGAGCGTTAAAGGTATCGTTTCAGCATCGAAGTTCAGAACTTAGGTTTAAACTTCTGTTTCGATATAAAATTTATTTAAAATTGAATAAAACATATCGGTATTATGATAACAACGTTTATTTCTTTATTTTTCCCCCGGCATTTAAGCTTGTAAAATCATTAGGATAAATCATGCTGCTGTTGACTGCAAATCATTGAAGTGAACCTATAAGTGAGAATAATATATTTACTATTTCTTGGTGGCACTGCATTCACAAGTAGCATCTATTTTTTAGCCTCAAGTTTGGGTCTAAAAGAAGTTCTGTATTTACTGACGGATCATTGTAAAAATTTGTACAACTATGTGAAAGAGCAAAAAAAAAAACAAAGATTTTGTACATCTGAATTTATTGAAAAAATAAAGAAAATGTGATATACGTAAAAAGCGGAAAAAAGAGGGCAAATCTTTTCTTTCAATGTACATGCTACTACATCGGGAGACAAACATATCATATTAGCGTCTCTAGGAGTCCCTTTTCCCAAAAATTTTTTTCAAGGCTTTACCTTTTTCCCCCTTCCCCCTCGTTTTTCAATGTAAGATACCATAAATGTCAAAATCAGAAAAAATTGCTTCTGGAGTTTCTAAATATTCTTTTTACGATTCGAGTGATATTTCTCTCAATGCTATAGCTTGATAATCATAGAAGGAGATAGATTTTAGAGATCACACAAACTGGGAATTTCGTTCGCTCACTAGTGCCAAATTAGTAAAATTGATTCGAAAAAGAAGTAATGGCTAAAAAAATGTTTGATACTGTATATACAGCAGTCATATCGCCGATTACTCGTTATGAGGGTACCATCATGGGCCGCATAACTTATTGTTTACAAGTCTAGCGCGAAAAATAATCTATGAATACAAATTTTCTCGAATAAATTTTTGTCCACATTGGTATTAAATTTTCCTTCCATTCAAATTAGGAACTACCTCACGCAAAAGCTAAAACCTGCGCAAACAAGGGGCTTGGCTCTTTACACGCGCAATTCTTGGACCTTTAAAATGAGCTTAGGTAGTGAGGGTAGTGGTAGTGAGGGTAATGTAATGATGGTAGTGGTAGTGAGGGTAGGGTCAGTGAAGGTAATGGTAATGAGTAGTGATGGTGACAGCGAGTTCATTATTCACACAACATTCAATTTTCCACACGTGCCAAGTCTCAATTGTGACGCTCGGCTCAGGCGCCTGCAGCGGCTGGTCTCCAAGACGATGCCTTCGACCCTGTCCATGAAACAGATTCTTGTGCGGTGCGTGACTGTATTGTCTTATATTCACTTATAAACAAGCTAATTTTTTCGCTTTCATGGAGAACAATTAGAATGGCTTCAATCATACTTCGTACGTCGCAACATGGAAATGGTTTGGGGCGGAATCATTGGAACAGCTAAATTATAGCTGTGCTGGGGATATTTGGAACCGAATGGACTATGGGGAAGGCACTAACTGCACGGCACTGGCTTATATGCAATCCTATAATTACTTCTAGCACGTGGCCGATCTGTCCTGTGTGAACCAGATGAGTTTCTATGTAAGCCAAATAATTTGTAGTATGCCGCATTGTTGTGCATGCATCTCATTTGCTACCAATATTTTCGTAACTAATAATCTTTTGGTGTGAACTTATTTAATAAATAAAACGAATCAAACGCTTTACGTTGCCTTAAATGAGGAAATCTGAATTTCAGAATATATGAACCCGTTTTATTGGTCTTAAAATTCCCGCATAAATCGTGTTAAAAGATTTATTAAGTAATATACATGGTCATCTGTACAAAAAAACCAATAAGCAGCTTATTAAATTTTCCAGGCCTTTTTTAATTTATCTTCTCCAACTGAAGGAATACATTCAATCCTGGGACATAGGCACATAAAAAAATAAAACTAAAATTATTTCGAGGCAATGACTGTTAAGTGCTAGCAATAGTATTTTTTTCAGCTTCAATTACAAATAGCTAGGCCCATAATTCCTCATTATCAATGCACGTCTGGCACAACTTGAGGTACTTCAGTGGTCAGGTCTTGGCTGCTAGAATAGCAAAGCAAAAATTAAGCAGTCAGGCTCTTCCAAGAGCGATCATCGCATTCTTGACGACTTTGGTCTGAAATATTTTCCACATCCAAAGGAACATCTGTCTGTAAAGATAAAGAATGCGATAAAAAAATTATTTATTTTGAATTAGTTTCTAATGAAAGTAAACGTAATGTAATTAATTCAATTATTCCTATATATTATTAGGTCAATTATTACTGAATCAACTATATCCCTTTTGGATTCTTGCTTGAGCACAATTCTGAAGACTTGAATTGATTGAATGTTAGTAGGCATCCTGCATGGATCATGGAAGTTCTCAATCTAAATTTCCCTTGATATCTTCAATCACATGCCCAAGTTCTCAAAAATATTCCATTAAAATTGGTGCATATCAAACTCATCAATGCCATTAACACTTGATTTGCACAATGCAGCGAGGTCGGCTTGCTGCACCGCGCTATATTGATCTGCTGTGATGCCTTCAGAGTAAGGGAGAAAAATTAAGGTCAGAAAAACTTCAGGCAAACAATATTTAGTTCATTTTCAGGATGCAATTTTATGCAAAAATTGGAAAATATGTCATATTTTTGCGAAAGATGAACGCTTTTAATACTATCCTGCTGATAGTTAACACGTGATATATCACGATGTATTTTTCGGTGTCTGACAAAGTTATCAATTAAGATCAAGTTCTTGTTCCGAGATAAAATTTTATTCACAGATTTGAAAACAGATTAGAATCATTTCAATTCATAAAAACTTCATTACTTTTCATCACAGAGTTGAAGCGGGACACAATATAAATCGCAACTACATATAAACTATGCTTTTGACGTTGCAATTAACTCTATTCAGATGAATTCATACGGCAATAAATACTTATTCTTGAGTGACACAATGTCACTTATATTATCGCAACATTTCGTAGTTTATACTACTACTCATAATTTCTCGCATATGAAAAGTATTTTCAGCATTTTTTAATTTTGGTTAATTACAGATCAAACCTAATTTCACTATATATTAAGGGACAACTTTTAAAAAATTCAAATTCGTTTTCAGCAAAGATTTTAAATTTTCTAAATCAGGTAGAACTGTTTGTTTTTATTTCAATAGGCTGATAATAATAATAATAATAATGATAATAATGATAATAATAATAATAATAATAATAATAATAATAATAATAATAATAATAATAATAATAATAATAAGATGGACTTGCCCTGCTTGCGGCGTTAGGGGTGATGTTATATTGTGTATTATATTATTTTAACATATAATAATATTACTTATTATTATATTATTTCCATTTAACAGGGAGCACTACCCGAATAATCACAGCCACATTAATCATTAGCTACCGGAAATTTGTAACTTTTAACCTTATTGAATTAACATTCAATAGCCCTAACATTCATGAGCCCTCGTCACCACGATGATGGATTGAGCATGCCGGAATTTTCTTAATTTGAATATCCACACATTCTTACCAGACCCGACCTTTATTTCGAAGTTCAACTGTTGTATCTACCATCAATATGTTCAAATAATCACTATTAATCTTTGTTTTTTTATTACTTTTACCCAATAGTAGTAACAAATAGAGAATTTGCGAGATCGTTCTCGTTGCTAAGAAAACTTCTTAGATCGTCTACTTTGGAATTATTTTCTCAATTTTTCTATGATGAACGAAAACCTGCAACAAGATTAAGATTAAGATCAGGAGCGTAAAACAGATTAAGGAGCTCGCGATTACGATTGAATTATTTTTAGTTAGATTATTTGGAATCAGCTTCAAGAACAAGTAAACTCGAAGCATTGTTTTAAAATATTCCGTTAGGGTTGTACAATTATCTTCGATTACATTGCAATCAATCAGCAGCTGATCATGAATTCAGGAGTGTTGCCAGTAGCAAAAAGCTCTCATTTGGTATGCAACAATGACTCTTTACTCCCAGTGTCCAGCCAATAATTACACTAGAAAGTTTTCGAAAAAGTTAATGCAAATCAAACACAGGAATAAGTACATCAAATATATTTAATGTTCATGATGTTCATGCACAATATTTCGTGTTGATACGAGCATTGATCTTCCGTCAGTAAGCTGTTGACGTCCGTGAAAGGAAGTATCAGCAGCCTTATAAGCGGAGAAAATAAAAGAATGAGTTGCAAAAACGTTAGAGAGCTGAATAACAGTTTATTCACCTCTAATACATTGTTTCCTTGTGATAACTATGAAGAACTGAAGAAATTTTATAAAATAATAAAATATTGCAAAAAACCTAGCAATGTCAGTCATTCTGAATCCAACGCTCAGATAATAATTGATCATGAAGGTTAACGTTCAAGCTGTCTCAAAAACATTACCAAAATGTTACGAGACACAGAAGTGACCTATGTTTGTATCTAAATCTAACTTTATTTCTTTTAGGTTAATTGATTTCTGCAAGATGGACTTGCGGCTACTTGCGGCGCTCGGGGCGCTGCTGTGCGTCTGCTGCAGCATCGAGGAGGGCTCAGCTTATACGTTCAGGACTTTCATGGGCGCGGAAATTGCCGCAACTGCGATCTCGAGCAGCGCGGTCGTGCAGCGTCCAAGTGAGTAGATATAACTTATATGCACGTAGATATAAAAGCATATCAATCTTCGCGGGATTATTTAGTTTGTTAGTTACTTCATCGAAGACAAGAGATTGTAAATAATATACCGTACTCACTGAGGTCAATTAAACTGTCTGAATTCATCATTTCGATTCTGTGCTTTTTTATTTCCCCTAACCAATAGTAGTAATTTAATAGAGGATATTAGAGATACAGTACTTCCCGTTGCTATGGAAACTTTTTCGATTGCTAACTTTGGAATTATTTTCTCAAGTTTTTCAATTACGAACGAAAACCTACAAGTTCATTCATTTGGCTGATTGCACTCGAAGGTATTAAAATTTTTTTCCAAAATAGAGTAAAGATCGCTCGATTACGATTGAATTATTTTTAGTTTTATTATTTTGAATCAGCTTTGAGAAAAAGTAAACTCGCAGCATTGTTTCAAAATGTTCCATTACGGATGTACAATTATTTTACAAAGAACTTAAAAGCAAAGAAAACTCCACAAAAATTCATAGTATCTTTAAAGAAAACGTTTCGGAGTCCAGCTCCATCTTCAGTTCGAAAATTCTAGAACACAGATAAATCAGTAATTAGTACAGTCTTGATTGCAACAAAAAACCTAAGCTGTAAAACCTATCTATTTACAATTTCAAGCGGGTAAGAGCTAAAAGCTAAATTCAAACTAGGCCTCTGTTTAAAAATATACAATAATTCTAAAATGCGCAAATCAGAAACACCGGAACTGGAAGCTAAAACTTTGAAGTCACTGTCAGACACTGGAACATCGCACTGCTCGGCGTGAGCCCGCACAGCTGAATGAGGGGGGCGCGATAGTAAGTTACCAGTTCTACAACTCCTGCCCTTATGTTCTGCGACCCTAGAATAAAGATTGCGAGACGTCATCCCGACGTACGCAGATGCACATCGTGCACAACTATATTCATAAACTAGGGACGNGAATCATTGTATATTTTTAAACAGAGGCCTAGTTTGAATTTAGCTTTTAGCTCTTACCCGCTTGAAATTGTAAATAGATAGGTTTTACAGCTTAGGTTTTTTGTTGCAATCATGACTGTACTAATTACTGATTTATCTGTGTTCTAGAATTTTCGAACTGACGATAGAGCTGGACTCCGAAACGTTTTCTTTAAAGATACTATGAATTTTTGTGGAGTTTTCTTTGCTTTTAAGTTTTAGTGAATTTGCGATTAAAGCAAACAAGTGACATTATTAAAATTATCTTCCATTACATTGCAATCAATCAGCAGCTGATCATGAATTCAGGAGTGTTGCAAGTAGCAAAAAGCTCTCATTTCATATGCAACAATGACTCTTCAGTCCCAGTGACCAACCAATAATTGCACTAGAAAGTTTTCGAAAAACTTAGTGCATATCAAACACAAGAATACGTACATCAAATATATTTAATGTTCATGATGTTCATGCATAATATTTCGTGTTCATGCGAGCATTGCCCTTCCGTCAGTGAGCTGTTGACGTCCGTGAAAGGAAGTATCAGCAGCCTTATAAGCGGAGAAAATAAAAGAATGAGTTGCAAAAACGTCAGAGAGCTGAATAACAGTTTATTCACCTCTAATACATTGTTTCCTTGTGTTATCTATGAAGAACTGAAGAAATTTTAAAAAATAATAAAATATTGCAAAAAATCTAGCAATGTCAGTCATTCTGAATCCAACACTCAGATAATAATATTGATCATGAAGGTTAAAGTTCAAGCTGTCTCCAAAACATTACCAAAATGTAACAAGACACAGAAGTGACCTATGTTTGTATCTAAATCTAACTTTATTTCTTGTAGGGTAATTGATTTCTGCAAGATGGACTTGCGGCTGCTTGCGGCGCTCGGGGCGCTGCTGTGCGTCTGCTGCAGCGTCGAGGAGGGCTCAGCTTATACGTTCAGGACTTTCATGGGCGCGGGAATTGCCGCAACTGCGATCTCGACCAGCGCGCTCGTGCAGCGTCCATGTGAGCCTAATTAGATGATACTAATATCCTTCTAACTATTAATTTCTCTACGTAGTTACGTACAGTCGAGCTGATTTACAAGAACCGATGATTTCGCTGCTCTATCAAAGTCTTTTGTAAAATGAGCGAATTTTCAGGGTATTTTTCTCATAAATTATCAGTCAATTTTTGATATGAGCAATCGACTAATAAGACCGCTCGTACCCAAATTTAGAATTATCTTCGGAATGTCGAACTCCTGATATCAAGTGCAAAAGAATCAGGTAGGCTTCGTGTCATCGATTGGTTATTGAATATTCAATAAGTGAGAGGCCCTGACCGAAAAGACACAGCTACACAATCTGATTTTCTGGATAATTTTGAAGATAACCTGTCAAAAACCCAACAATTATTAGCCAATTTTGATTAAGAATAACTACATTATTTAGTAGTGATCAATTTACGTAACTAACTAATTTAATTAATAAAACATGAGAGAGCTGGTACAATGGTTCAGTGTAGTAAAGCGACAGAGAGATGTACTGCCAGCTGTTCACAGTTCTCTCCTTAATGGCATCAATAAAGGCTCAGGTGATTGCCTCGAAGAGGTAGCAATTCTTCCATCATGGAGTACATATCCAACAATCACAGTACAGATCGGTTGTCATTCTGTTGAATTAACTCGACGCGGAAGGCTGTCAATTTACATTATTTGATGAATAAAAATTTTTCAATATAAGGATAATCGAAGACATTACTTCTAAATTTTATTACTGTTACTTTAGTATCCAAACCGTGACCACTTTTATTGTTCATTAATTATCTTGAACATTTACCATGCACTGATTCCTCCTTTTTCGGATTATTAAACATTTATTGTGTCGTATAAGGCCTAAACAGCTATAACACTGTATTTACTATTCAGTGTCGTCATTTCGAATATTCATAGTTTCTTAGTATCTGAAATATTTTACTTCGTTGGATTTCGAAATGCGAAAATAAAAAATCTCTATTGTGAAGAATTACATGTTCACATTAATTTTCAGAATGAAAACTCGTCCATTGTTTGTAATGGCTTCTGAAAACAAAGAATGAACAATTAAACACTAAGTTGTGGGCATTCTAAAATAAATTATAAACAATACAAAAGAACATAAAGAAAAGGCGCATAAAATAAATAGATAACAACGTTTCAAATTGTTTAACAATCTTGCATGGGCGAGTTCTAGTTATTGAATGAATTCTGTCAAAGTTCATCGGCTCCAGGCCTAACTAAAATGTCCAAGTCTTCCGTAGACATGAGACGTATACATGTATATGCTACATAAGTAAAAATATTTACATCTCGTTTGGATGAGCTTCTTCATGTCTTTATGGATCGTGAACTGCAGCCAACGGCTTATGTCACATTTTTTATTTAAACAATATCCTTTCGCATCCATCTTTGCGTCTCACTAATTCACCCTTCCATTGTTAGATTATGAAGACCAGATTTACATCGCACAACAGTAGGTGATCAAATTATTTGTTAATAATCGGGCAACAGTATTAATGACTCAGGTTAACCGTAGTAAATAACGACTCATTATGCATCATTTGGTAGACCCAATCAACTATTTATACTGTGTTCGACTTACAAAATAATTTCCTAATTAAAGTTGTTTCAAAATAATGTGCTGTGAGAATTATCATCTATAGTTATAATTATCAAGTCGTATATGTTGTTTGCGCTCTTGCTATAAAATAACAATTAAAGAAGTTTAAAAAATAGTAAAATTTTGTCAATATGTTTTTTTTTGCCTCTTGTTGGAGATTCTACGTCGATGGGTAGTTGATTATGTACGAAATTTAATTGTTTAGTTCGGGTTTCTCGTATGATTTCTGCACAATCTGTTATGTGCCAAGTCATGAAAATTTCTGAGAGTATAATTATATTGAAGCAAATGTAGTTATGGGGGCTTGAAAATTTTTTGCATGCAATGCAAAATATGCAAATATTTTTTGTCTCATATTAATAATACTTCCTATTCTTGATAAAAACGAAGAACAAGGGATGCATTTGAGGTAGCTTTAGTACCAGCGACAATTAATTCAACAATCGCATGATATACAGTTTATTTAGGAAGTTCAAAGAGCTTTCAGTTCTTATGTGAGATGAATATTTTGAGCCTTTCACGTAGGTATTGAAAACCTCTAAGGCGAACTGACATATGCGATCATTTTTAATGACTAAATACTATTAAACACTAACTGCTAAATTATGAAATTACACCATTGGGCGCAATGTAAGTGAATGCAGGAAATTGATAAAATGTTTTGGTTTGGTCTGGTAGAGTCGATGACACGAAACCAGTCGTCAGCAAGGAAAATTTTTCGGCATGCTTGAAGTAAAAGTGATTGACCCCATTCATATAACCCATGGGCAATGTCTTTTATTCTGTGCTGTTTGCCAATTTTTGAATGCCTGAAACTGTCGCGTCACACATGAAAAATTTCTTAGCAATCGCCCAACATGAAAGATATAAATACTCGTCGATCATGACTATAATTAAAGAATGATGCAAACTAGTGTTGCAATTGATAGTTGATAGGTTTGCTGCATGCGATCGTAAAAGACAATTTACAGAATAATTTACGACGTTGATACTGAGAACGAGTAAATAGTTGAGCCAAATTTGATTTCGATTAACAATTTTTCATCATCATCATAGGCTCTATTCCCAAGAACAAGAAGAAATATGGAAAGAATGCGAGTGTTTGCCAAAGCATGCTCATGATTCGTTCATCATAATTTACGAACAATCACTAAAAGCTACGACACTCACAGCTAATGCGTTTTGACCCTTGATTTGGCCTTAGACCCACATGCATGCAGGTGCACACATATAAATTGGCTTCAAATATTGAAGGTGGATCTGAAAATCTGGAAGAAGCATGAAGAGAAGCAAGACTTCACAAAATCGATGACAGAGAAATACCTCTGTTTTTCGCCATTTTTTCGCGTTTGAATTTTTACTTTGCTTGCTGTTTAGCCATCAAGTGATTTAAATTGATGCTAAAATTTTTGTACAATTCAAGATTCAAATTCTTGCCCATTTAATTCTATTTACCATCTCGCACTAACGGCAATCACTAGAAAAAGTTATTGTCTCATTGAACGCTTCTCGCGCTTTCATCCAAATGGATCTCGGGCCGATTTTTGAAATAGGAAAAAATACCATCCGTCGAGAATGGAGAATTGACAAGTCAATGTTATTATATTTAGCACTGTATATTATATATTTTATTATTTTTATTAAATCATTATCTTTTCGGACAGTATAATAATGCTTAGTTTTAATCCAACATAAGTATAGTTTATCAGGTATTCAGCACAACATGGCACATTTTATGCAGCATACGACAAAATAATTACAGTCATAGACGAAGCAGCTTCTCAAGAAAGCACTTAAGAATGTTGCAGTATATCGAGTGAAGAATTGGAAGCAATCACGCAGGGGCTGGCTGCTTGCTTGAACTTACTGCAGCTCAGTAGTAAGCTGCTCCACTTCTCAAGAGGTGTGTGCACGGAAAACTTTTTCTTGACATAACGAATAAAGTTTCTCAAGGGATGGTGGTTTTGTACTACCAGAATTTAACTTTTAAAGAAGTTTCTAGTCAGTATAAAATTAATCTAATACGGTTGAAGCGGACTTTGTTTCGGTTTTTAACTTTCCTTGAAGGTAAGGAGCTGGTTAATACAAGATGAATGAACATGAAATCTATTTACGTATATTCTCAAGCATTTCTGTAGGTATACAATTTTTGTTAAAGGTGCACAACAGTCCTGAACATGATTTTAATTTGCTTGCATTCCAAACTCAACTTGACAATTTTCAATGGTATCTATGCTAAACACAAAAATATCCCAATATGAGTGCAAATAAAATGAATTATCTTACTTCTATACAAATAATAAGATGTTTCTGGAATTTAAATTCATGAAAATTATGTTATGGCTTTGAAAGGCTTACATATATCTAACAGACAGATCTGAGCTCTCCAGCTGATCGAATTGTTACCCTAAATGCCAAATATTCTTGATGACAATTTTTCTTTCAATACCTTTGGGCAAGGTGAATTAAGCCCAGCAAGATGGACCTGGCGCTGCTTGCGGCGCTCGGGGCGCTGCTGTGCGTCTGCTGCAGCATCGAGGAGGGCTCAGCTTATACGTTCAGGACTTTCATGGGCGCGGAAATTGCCGCAACTGATGGAATATGAAATAGCAGTTAATTGTCATAGAAAACGCACTGAAATCATACGTAATTATGTTACATATGGCAATTTCTCATGAACAAAATATGGAAAGAAGAATTGTGTAAAAGTATTTACCTTTCCAGGCGAGTGTCGCGCGCTGTGCCGGGACGGATGCGTCGCGGTGGCCATCAGGCGTCAGCCGCCACGCCACTTCCACTGCTCCTTCACTGACAAAACCTTCGCTAACGTCACCACCGGACTTACGGTCCCTGCTCCCGACAGCAGTGTTTTCTACAAACGTAAATGTAGGTCCATAAAAATATCTTCAAAAATTATAAGCTCGAGCATGTTAATTGTAACTGCAAAAAACCTATTGGCTTCATTTCATTCAATTCGGGCAAGAACATAAATTAAGGTTAAAATTTGCCAATCCAACAATTCACTCAATCGCAGCTTAACTACATTGTTTCGTGATGTTTGTAAAGCACTGAAAAGCGCACTGCACTTAAGTTTTTAGATTAAATCAATCTTTACATAGACTTGAATATTAAATTATAAATCACAAATTTGGTAGAATTGTTTGTTATTCTTTTACGCATCCACTCCTTTTCTGTACTAATTAACTAAGCTTCACATAACCTAGAGCCTTCAGCATTACAATATTTAATTCTCTTTATTTCTAGTTTCTCTTTCCATGTTTGAGTTCAAATCGTCAGATATTTTAGTTCAAGCAATACAAGATTCCGCATTTATTTGCTGTAAACTCATTATTATTTACAGATTCTTACATATGTATATTTTCAGATTTAAATTTGCCAAATAACTACTTTCAACTCAATCCATATAGTCATTATAGTGGCTTATAGCACATACGCATAAGAAATGAAAACTTGGTAGTAATTTTCTACATAATTTATGTTTTGGAGCTAGGCCTTGTTTGCCTGCCTGGCTTCATGCTCGTGAACAACGTGGGCTGCATTTACGTCTCCACCGTCGCACTGAACTTCACCGCCGCCGCCGCGTCCTGTCCCTTCGACTCCCAACTCTTCACCGCCAACTTCCTCATCGACTTCGACGCCATGCGGGAATACCTCTTGAAGAATTTCACTAGTAAGTTGTAGAGTATAAATTATTTAATAATTTACTAATTTATTACAATTGTAAATGAGCCTACATTGAGCTCTCCCCTCAATTCAATTACTTCTTGTTTTTGTTTCCGTCCGAATCCGATCCAGATTCCGTTTCCTGAAATCAGTCCTTTACACACCATACGAAATGGCAAGTCTTGGACTTGATAAAACAGATCTGTACAGTTGATTAGCCTTATTTTATTTGAACTGCTAGTGTCATGATGAGGATTGTTCCTAGAACCGTGAAATATGAGTGTACGGGTGCCTTCGACTTTTACCTCTTCACCGCTCATTTTCGATCGAATTATCTGTCATGCACGATTACCTCTTGTAAGTTCTGTACGGACGGACAGTGATCGTAAGTCCGGAATATGGACAGTGAGATTGTCGGTAATTTTACCCTTTTCCGTTAATAGCCTGATTTTCGAAAATAATTGCATTGTCGAAAATTCAGCGGCAGCTGACATTAAGGTTCAAAATCAGTCCATCTAAAATAATAATACTATATATATAAACCGCTAAATGAGTCAAGCATATGACTTGCAATACGCTCGTAATATCTGTGAAAATCCTCGGGTCCCAAAACTATATTACGAAACGTATTATTTTTTAGTTTTAAATATTCCGCTTAAAAAGGCTCGAGCACAATTGCCATCAGCGCGCTTACACATGATCGCATGCACGCATAATTGCCATCAGGACGCATGTTTAAAAAAAGTTTTAATGTGATCAAATTATGAAAGCCTCTATTCTATCTAAAAAATCCTTAAACTCATGATTTACTGAACGCACATGGTTTAAAATGATGTTGCGTATGCACATGTCAGAATATAAATGATTTGTATATATATGCACACATCATTACTGTATAACCTGACTGAGCCAGTCGAACGGAAAAAACTGAGAGGGAATCCAATGTATATGAAATACTTGTTAATTATCCAACTCATATGAAGACATATATCACTACTGTTTTTTGATTAATAACTAGAATCTGAGTAATCAAGTGCTATTTCTCAGCCTCGGGCACATTCTTTTGGATTGGCCTGATCCATGCCCCGGACTCCACTTGGCAATGGCTCGGAGGCGGAACCATCCCAGCCACTCACCCATCACCATACTGGGGTCAAATTGACCCAAATGAGCCAGCTACAGTGACCAGCTGTGTGGGAATGTATCTTAATACATTCCCACAACTGAGTTACTTGTATCATCTGGCCGATGCACCTTGTGCCACAGCCTCCAAGTTTCTGTGCAAGCAGATTTGAATTCAGTGGCTTGAAATGACATAAATGCGCCCTTTTTTCCGTCAGCTAACCAATAACTATGTTTACTCTGGCCCAAATCCTCTAAATTATCCAAGTTTTTTGCATACCTGCTATTTTTGGCAAACAGTAAAAAGCCAAAATTAGACCGCTGATACGAGACCCGGACCTCTAGCAAAAATTGAATGAATTTATGTGTCACGCCTGCAAAAGGTTGATCGCTGTTTCTCTATATCCGTGAGCTTTTTTTACGTTAATCGGCTTTTTTATAGTAAATCATCGTTGCAATGGAATCGGGATTCCTGACACGCATTCACAATCTCCGTTTCGTACTCTGAATTTCCGGTCAAGGCGACATTTCCTTGATCTCGTTAATTACTCCGTATCACCACAGAATGTGGAGCATGACTTGAATTATTTACTAGGTGATGCATTGGCGGCTTGAGTTAGAGACTCAAGCTGCTTAATTTCGTTTACTTATTAATCATAAGTCATTAGGACGCACGCATTGGCCTGCGATGCGTTACAATCCTACAATCTTCTAGTTAATCCCTACATGTGGCGTCTCAGTTCAGTTGAAATTAGATGAATTTCGACTTTGAAGAAGTTTGACTGGCAATTATTATCAAATGAGACGGATTACCAAGTTCTCAGTTTTATGCCTGACTTCACTTTTGTCTTTCCACTCGTGTTATTTTCAGCTCGAATTTATGACCGTGTGTATTGCTTATATATTATACCTTTTTTTATTGTAAGCGATTGATATATATAGCCAGTATAATCGTCTTTATGACACTCAATTAAAATTTTACTAATATGTGGTAAAACATATATAACATTGTAATTGTTTCTAAACGTTCCAATTTTCAATATTCAGAGTTACAGTCGTAAGGAATGATTGAACAATGGTCACTCCTTGGCTCGAAAATGCAACATATGGAATTTGTTTTTCAGTAATGACTGAATCATAAATATTAGTTTGAAAAATAATAAGTAAATTAATACAAAAATTTGTTTTTCAGTAATGACTGAATTAATCATAAATGACTTATCTTACCTCCGCAGTCAAGTCTTTCGCTCCCATGATTCAATTATAATGAAAGTATTAGACGCTAATAGACAGTAATGATGGACAGTCATTACGACTACCAATTAATGAAGATATATAGTTATAACAATAATGACTCTCCGAATCTTCACGTATACCATAAAATAATGTAATAGATCCAGCCAACCGCTCAGTGTCGTGAAAGTTAGGTACAATTATTATTAATCTCAAAGTTGTGTTGTCAATTTGTGGAATGTTAGTGCAAAGCTAACCTAATTTCGCTTAGACAAGCAACTGGAGATATCTGCGAACGATGAAGACATTGAAAACGAACTTTGGTCTTCATTGAAACGAACTTTGGTCTTCATTGAAACGAACTTTAGTCTTCATTGAAACGAACTTTTGGAGACACTGAAACGAACTTTTGAAGACATTGAAAATGATATATTAATTTACATATGTAAGCTTTTCCATTGACATAATGCTGTTTAAAAAAAATGCTACTTGTTTTTTCTACACTTTGACGGGGCATCCCATTTTCAAAAAGAAAATATGCGGAAACTTCTTTGCGTGAAACTGCACTGTAGCACAAACATTCAGCCGTATTTTTCCACACTATTTCCGAAGTAATACTAAATATTTTCAGGAATGTTTTTTCTTTACAATACTACAAGCGCTTTGGATGCATCGGTCAAAGAGATGAACTCGCATATATATGAGATAGTCAATTCAACTGGAGTCATCCAGTTAACTAGGACAGTACGAGTTGAAATTCTCAATTTCTATGAATAATTTTGCAGCCAATGGTTGATGATGTTGTAAAACTACTTAGAATTTACTTAGAAATTTATATTTATATTACTTAGAAATTTTTATTTACATATTTCCATGAAAAAACCAAAAGTGTTGAAGTAACTGAAAATTTTTGTGCGCTAATAATTTTCGAGTGAATTGAAATAATATGAAATAAAACGGCAACCGCACGTGCATCTGAAATGTTTAATTTTTACCTGATTTATGTATATATCACTTCATGGTTTAATTGTGGTGTTAACTGCTAGTATTGTAAACACCAAATAAATTATCTACAAGCCTTTAAGTGAGGGTAGTGGGAGTGAGGGTAGTGGGAGTGAGGGTAGTGGGAATGAGGGTAGTGGTAATGAGGGTAGTGATGGTGACAGCGAGTTCAATATTCACAAGTGATACAATTTTCCACACGTGCCAAGTCTCAATTGTGACGCTCGGCCCAGGCGCCTGCAGCGGCTGGTCTCCAAGACGACGCCTTCGACCCCGTCCATGAAACAGATTCTTGTGTGGTGCGTGACAGTATGGTTTTATAATCACTTATAAACAAACTAATTTCTTCGCCTCCATGAAGAACAATTAGAATGGTTTCAATCATACTTCGTGCATCGCAACATGGAAATGGTTTGGGGACGGAATCATTGTATCAGCTAAACTATAGCTGTGCTGAGCCTATTTGGAACCGTATGGACTAAGTTGAAGACACTGACTGTGCGGCACTAGCTTACATGCAATCCCATTATTACTTCTAGTAATATTATATTATATAATATAGTATACCCTCTAGTATTGTATAAATTATTATAATATATTAAAATAATATGATATTAAATATTATTCGTGGCCGATCTGTCCTGTGTAAACCAGGGCCTATACTTTCAAAAAAAAGTTACGTAAGTTCATCTGCCAATCATTGACGGCCTTTCAAGCAAAATCAACCAATCATAGACAAGAAAATAGAGCGTAAGTACTTACGTTCACTTAGCGAGTTTTGAAAGTATGGCCCCAGATGAGTTTCAGTGCAAGCAAAATTATTTGTAGTATGCCGCATTTCTATGCACGCATCTCGTTTGCTGCCAGCAATTTCGTAACTGATAATCTTCTGATCCAAACATAATTTACTGAATCAACAGAATCAAACGCTTTACGTTTCCTTAAATGAAGAAAGCAGTATTTCATAATCTATGAACCAGTTTTATTGGACTAAAATCCCCTCATGAATCGTGTTAAAAGGTTTATAATGTTTTATACTTGGCCATCTATACGAAAACGAATAAGCAGATTATGAAATTTTTCAGGAATTTGTTAGATTTATCTGTTCGACTGACGGAATACATTCAATACTGGGGCATAGACACATAAAAAGACTGAAACTAAAATTACTTCGAGACAATGATTGTTTAGTACTAATAACAGTAGTTTTTTAGCATCAATCAAAACTAGCAAAACCAATAATTCCTCATTACCAACATACGTCTATCACATCTTGAGGTACATGAGTGATCAGGGCTTGGCTGCTAGAATAATGGCTAAGAAGTAATTAAGCTGTCTCAACTCGTCTGAAAGCGATATTGCTTTCTTGATTCGGTCTGAAATATTTTCCACACCCAAAGGAACATCTGCCTGTAAAGATGAAGAATGCGATAAGAAAATTAATCATTTTGAATTGGTTCCTGATGGAAGTAAACTTTTTGTAATTCGATTTAATTATATCCCTTTTGGATTTATGCTAGGTATTCTGAAGCCTTGAATTGATTGAAAATAAGTATCCTGCATGGGTCATGGAAATTAGTGTTTAGTATAAATTTTCCTATATATCTTGTCACATGCACAAGTTCTCGAAAATGTTACATTAAAATTGGTGCATATCAAACTCATCAATGCCATTAACACTTGATTTGCACAATGCAGCGAGGTCGGCTTGCTGTACCGCGCTATATTGATCTGCTGTGATGCCTACAGAGTAAGGGAGAAAAATTAAGGCCAGAAAAACTTCAGGCAAACAAATTTAGTTCCTTTTTCAAGATACAATTTATGCAGAAATTGGAACATATGTCATATATTTGCGAAAGATAAAATAAACACTTTTAATACAATCATTCTGATAGTTAACGCGTGATGTATCACGATATATTTTCTCAGTGTCTGACAAAGTTACCAATTAAGATCAAATTCTTCTTCCGAGATGAAATTTTATTTACAGATTTGAAAACGGATCAAAATAGTTTCAGTTAATGAAAACTTCCATACTTCGTTTGTATCCCGTAATAGCGGCATGCAATATTAATCATAGCTAAAAATTGTGCGATTGACTTTTCATTGATATGAATCCCGATGACAATAAAATATCTATTTTTCAGTGACACAACGTCACTGATATTATACATGACATGTCGATCAGTGTGCAGACATGGCATGTCAATCAGTGTGCAAACATGGCATGTCGATCAGTGTGCAGACATGACATGTCGATCTGTGTGCAGACATGACATGTCGATCAGTGTGCAGACATCATGACATGTCGATCAGTGTGCAGACATGACCTTGTCGATCAGTGTGCAGACATGACATGCCGATCTGTGTGCAGACATGACATGTGTTATTTAGGTTTCTCTAAGTTCCAGTCCAGATTTGCTACTGGTAGTTTTGTATTCTACGTCTTCGCCACTTTAATACTTGTAAATATGCTGAAGTCTAAACATCAGTTAAATCCTTCCTTCTTCCTCCCTCACTTCAGCGTTACCGGTAAAAAAACAATTAATCAGAATTGGTTAATTGCATGGAAGAATTTTTTTTTCGCCTTGAGATCCCCAAAAAATCAAAATTTGAGAAAAACTCAATTCAAAAATGATTGTCCAAGATTATTCTCTAGAGCAAAATAATTGTATCCCTTAGATTATAAACTATAATGCTTAATTTATTCATATTAACGACTCATTTCATTTTATTGGATTTTAAACAGATGGGCGTTGGTCTACAAAATGTTTGAAGTGAAAATGTTTGATTTATCATATTAATTTTCTCTAATTTCAAATTGTTTTCCTAACACTCTCAAATTGTGGGCCCCGCACAAAATGCTACTCGATTTTTGGATTTAATTGTCTTGGAATTATATGTAGAAGGAATAGCGTGTTGTATGAAGAGTTGCTCGTGTTAAAAGTTTGTGTTAACAGCGTAGGGAGCATAAGACGGAAACAAGCGAATATCTGGTTGCTTATTCTGGTAAAAATGAAAAAAAAACAAGGCCCACATTGCTGTAATTAAACTACATCAAAATGATGCATAAATTTGTTCAAGAACACATGTATTAAAATTTTAATTAATGTGCTAATTTGGTTATCAGCGGTTTTTTGTCTACATCTCGATTCTTGCCTTGTTCAATTTTGAACGATTTAGATTTGAGATTGTACTGACCAACATTTCTGCGCATTTCTTTATTCATTGGTTGAATTTTCTCAGCCTTTTTTGAATTTGTAGATATTTTAAGATTAAGGTATCATTGTACTATCACATTCCCCACCTCCTCAATATTCGCTGTGATGACCATCACGCAAGGACTTACTGCAACCTCGCTGGAGAGCGATAACCGCTCTATTACAGACGTGATCCGATATTTCTCCAAAATAAAAAGAGAGATGGTAAGATTAGGTAAGATTACGAGTAGTAAGACTAAGATTAGTACGATTATGAGTAGTATAATAAAGAGTAGTACGATTATGAGTAGTATGATAAAGAGTAGTACGAGTATGAGTAGTAGGATTGAAATTCGGTTCGCAAAATTTCTTTGTTTAGGATTCTTTTCAAAAGAATATGTCATTTGAAGAAGTTTCGCCTATGTGATTTACGTCACTCCTCATTTCTGAACCAATCGATTGGATGTGATCGAGTATTCCAAGTGTCGTTATTGGAACGAGTTCTCGCATAAAATGGACCCCTGAACGTACAATCAGAGACACAAGACAATTATCTCTTTAGAAAGCTTTCGCACAATCGGAGGCGAATCTATCACAACGAAACATGCACCACCTGAATTGTAATCACGCAAAGGCCGACTTGCTCGACAGCGTCATGATCAGTGAGCCGTGCATTCTTTTGGGGGAAAGAGTTAAAAATGTTTTTAACTGTAAGCACATTTTTCACAGATTGAAAATAATTATTGAGCAATTGTGATTGATTATAATTATTTATTTCAAGATATAATTTGTCGAAAATTTCAATAATGAAAGAACAAATTTTCTATTTATAACAAAAATTTCACTCTGTTTTTAAACATGCATATATGAGAATGATCCTAGTTTCTTATGTAGGCCAAAACCAAATTTTGATTTTAGAATGCTGATGCCAACCCTTATAGGTAAATGTCTTATTAACCACCCCATGTCATCCGAAGTCAATAAATATTGTAGAAATTTTCTTCTGGTTCATTACAAATATGAAGTTTTCTTCAAAGTTTCTGGAATACCTGCTGTGAACATCAAACGC